CAGGGTGGAGAGCCCACCTCTGGCTCTGTTCATGGTTTTGCTCTTAGGGGTTGGTTGGTTGCAGATTTGTTAGGGTGCCCTCACCTCCCTCTTTATGTTCTTTGCCTTCTTTTCACCCACAGCCCGAGCTGGCTGAGGTAGCTGTCTGGATTGCTGGTGGATCTTCTGGATTGCCTGCTCTTTCTTTCCCCACTTGGAAAGCTCTGCACATGATTTCTTATTTTTCACCCCTTGTCCCAAATCTGCAGGCAGTCAGCTGCCTGAGAAGTTGTTTTGATGAGGTTGATACAGCCCTTCCCAGCTCCAACCGGCTCCTCAGTGAACAGCCTAGGTCAGAGTCAGAAGGAAGTAAAAACAGATGGAAATGCCCTAGCTAGTCATTCTCAAGTAGCTGGGTCAGATGAGGCACCCGAAGAAAAGTAATAGAGACTGACATACAGCCCTGAGACCTGCAGGCGCTGCTTGATGGAAAGCCGGTGTGTGATTCTGGCAGCAGAAGAGCAATAGACACGCACGCATTCACACACACCCATACTGCACACACTTGACCAAGCACTGCAGAACCTCGTGGAAAAATAACGTGCCAGTTGTACGTCTAGAGTTTGGCGGAGAGTGGCTCTTGGAGGGGCCTCCCTGGAGGAATGATAGCAGGCCAGATCTGGAGTGAGATGCTGCACGTGGACAGGCACAGGGGTGAGGGAAAGAAGGAAGGACTCTTTGTCGTGGCTGATGTAGTGCAGTCAGGAGGGTGAGCGTGGTGGCTTGTGGAGTCGCATAGCGCTGGCTGGAAGTCTCACTCTGTTCCTTACTAGCTGGTTACTTTCTCTTTGCTTTCGTCAGTTGTTTCACCTCCAAAGTGGGGATGATGACTACCACAGAGAGCTGCTGAGGGGGTTAAGGAAGGCCATTCACGCAAAGTACCTAGCATAACATAGAGTACCTAGTGAGCGTAAGTTTTCATTTCTTTCTTCACCTAGGAAATGGCACAGTGAGAAAGTCTGTTTACTCTCCACATTCCTGAAGCTCATCTGGTTATAGCTGGAGCCCCTAAGTTTGGCTTAGGAGCCCACATGATGTGGGGCTTCCTGGAGAGCTATGATCTTTTGCATATAAGACCAGGGTGGGTGATGCTGTACTGGGTCCATTTAGGCCAGTGGTTTTCAACTGCAGGTCATGACCATTAGTGGTTCAAGATCCCAATTCTGTGGGCTAGAACCAGCATTAAAGAAACCCAGTAGAGTAGGATATAACCAAACAGCACATTTGGCTGTATCAGAGGGCACTGCACCAAGTAAGGGTTTCAGTAACATACGTATACGTGCGTGACGGAGTTGCAGTATGAAATGTGTTTCTTACTGAAGGTTGTTGTCAAAAAGAAAAAAACAAACAGGCAAAAATTATGGTGTGGAGGATCAGAGATTTTATTTAGGGAGTTCTGACTACCCTGGGATTTCAGGCCTTCTGACCAGTGAATTCCTGCGGAGATCTTTGTACCATTTGTAGTAATCTGGGGGTCTGTTGGGGAACGATCTCATTTGACCGTTTTTTGCATAAAGCAGCTGGAAATTCTAGTCTGGAATTCCCCACAAGATGCAGATGAATGAGGGCTCCTTGAATGGTTGACCCATTCCCACTGACCTTTTTGCCTTAAAAAGCATGAGTATTTGGCTCCAGGTAACGAGGACATGGGGGCATGGAGTAGGAGAGGCAGGTGGAGGGGTGAGATGTGGCTGGACCGTGAGGGATGGAGGGAGGAAGAAGTGAGTGCTGTAGGATTATGAAGCGCCATTCGCTCAGCAGGTACCTGGTGAATGTCTTCCGGGGGTCAGGCCCCAACTTAGGCCTGAGACATGCATGCGCGGCTAAAAGGTCAGGCATTGTGCCTGCCAGCACAGAGCATAGCATCTAGTGGGGAAACAGATAAGGGCCTGCCAAAGTAGTTATTTATTTATTCCAATGAGTTACATTTTTTGCCTATTAAGAGTTAATGTGTCCCTGGATATAACATGGCACTGAAATAGCTTTTTAACTGTTTGCGGCACATATATTACTTTGTTCTCTGTTCCTAGTTTCAAAACTAGCTGACAGGGAATGAGGTATTTCTCCCTCTCTGTGCATATACATACACACACACGTGCACACACACACACACACGTACACATACGTACACAATGCTAAATTAAGTTGCTTGTGAGTTTTGGGATCCTGTGTTTTTCAATGGGCTAGTGACCCCCAATGGCAGAAAGCTCTCCTCACCTACCTCCAGCAGTTGGAAGAACTCATTTCCAGAGGAGTCCTGGGCACCTCGCTGTCCCGGCTGATGAGGCCAGCATTTGTAATTCTGTTGATCAGAAATGCTTTTTGTCATTTCTTGGTAACAACAGCAATACTTGCCCCTTGTGGAGAACACAGATAGCAGAGTATAGACCTAGATCTCTTTTGTACATGGAAATTATTGTTAGAAACCTCTTTAGAGGTTAGTTTTTTCCAGGTTATCATACGTGAAGAGGAGAGGAAAGAACATTAAAAAAAAAAATTGAAGCATAGTTGATTTACACTGTTGTGTTAGTTTCAGGTGCACAGCAAAGTGATTCTGTTTTATATATGTCATCTACTCTTTTTCAGATTCTTTTCCATTATAGTTTATATTATAAGGTACTGAATATAGTTCCCTGTGCTCTACGGCAGGATCTTGTTGTTTACCTATTTTATATATAGTAGTTGGTGTCTGCTAATCCCAAGCTCCTAATTCATCCCTCCCCCACCCCCTTTCCCCTTTGGTAACAAGTTTGTTTTCTATGTCTCTATTTCTCTTTTGTAAATAAGTTCATTTGTACCATGTTTTAGATTCCACATATAAGTGATATCATATATTTGTCTTTCTCTGACTTACTTCATTTAGTATGATCATCTCTAGGTCCATCCATGTTGCTGCCAATGGCATTTTCAGTGTTTTTTTCTGGCTGAGTAAATAGTCCATTGTGTCTGTGTGTGTATATGGGTGTGCATGCATTACATTTTTGTCCATTCATCTGTTGACAGACATTTAGGTTGCTTCCATGTCTTGGCTATTTTAAATAGTACTGTTATGAACATTGGGGTGCATGTATGTTTTCAAATTAGAGTTCTCTGTGAATATATGCCCAGGAGTGGGATTTTTGGATCATATGGTAGCTGTAGTTTTAGTTTTTTAAGGAACCTCCATACTCTTCTCCACAGTGGCTGCACCAATTTACATTCCCACCAACATTGTAGGAGGGTGCCCTTTTCTCTACACCCTCTCCAGCACTTATTATTTGCAGACTTTCTGATGACCGCTGTATTGACAGATGATTTGTAGACCATTCTGACTGATGTGAGGCGATACCTCATTGTGGATTTGATTTGCATTCCTGTGATAATTAGTAATGTTGAGCATCTTTTCATGTGCCTACTGGCCACCTGTATGTCTTTTCTGGAGAAATGTCAATTACGGTCTTCTGCCCATTTTTTAATTGGTTTGTTTGTTTTCTGCTATTGAGCTGTATGAGCTGTTTGTATATTTTGGAAATTAAGCCCTTTTCAGTCGCATCATTTGCAAATATTTTCTCCCATTCTGTAGGTTGTCTTGTTGTTTCGTTTATGGTCTCCATTGCTGTGCAAAGGCTTTTAAGTTTGATTAGGTCCCATTTGTTTATTTTTGCTTTTATTTCACTTGCGAAAGGACATGTTTTGCTGTTACTAGATGGAGATGGTTTGAAGTCATTGTCCTCTTTCCTCCCTGTAGGAAAAATGCTGTGACCTTTGTTTCCTCAGGCAGGCTAGGGTGGTGTCAAGTTGTATAAACCTCACCGAACCATTCTTGGCCATCTTTCACAGTGCCTTGTTCTCTAAGCAGAAAGGACACTGCTGGTGTTTGTAAAGCGCTCATAGTTCTGCATCAATATTTGTGTAGTGGTTTATATAGAGCAGTGAGTCTCAACCAGAGATGATGGGTGTTTACGAATTCTCTGGTGGTTTATCCAAACTACACAGACCTGCTGTACAGCACAGGGAGCTCAGTTTGGTGCTCTGTGGCGACCTAGATGGATGCAATGGGGGTGGGGTGGGAGGGAGGTCCAAAAGGGAGGGGATATAGGTATACTTATAGCTGATTCACTTCATGTACAGCAGAAACGAACACAACATTGTAAACCAATTATACTCCTAAAAAAAAAAATTAGAAACAAACAAAAACAAAACAAGAAACAAACTACACAGACACTTATAACTGTCATATCCAGGAACGTATCAGATGTTCAGGAGTAAGTGTATGTTTCAGAAAAGCCCCACAGGTAATTCTTACCCTACCCTCTCCTACCCCACCTACTGATGCAAAGGGGAATGCATGTAAACACTGCTCAAAGATACAGACAGTAGAGTTGAAAAATATAAACATTGGAAGCTAAAGGGTTCAGGACAAAAATAAACAGGAGGCACTATTTCTCAGATGCATCTTTTCCTGCAGTAAAGCGTCCACTGACATCCCTAAATGTGGCTTCCCGGGCATCAGCATAATCTGAGGGGAGACAGCTCTTTGCCAGAGGTACATATTATCCCCAAAGCTTGGTAAATACAGCTCTGAGCCAGAGCAGGGAGGCTCTCTTCCTTGTGCCACGCTTGGTTGGCACGGCTTGGGAGCCCAGTGATGTAATGTGTAGTTTCAGCCCGCCTTGTTCAGAAATCCCAAGCAAACAAGTCCTCTGATTTAAAGGTAAATAACAGCAATTATTTTCAGTAAACTGTTTAATTAAAAAAATATTTTCATCCTTTTGGCATCTTATACTTTAGACATGTCTCTTGTAAGCAGCAAATAGTTGGATTAAAAAAACATTCTTTTAACTGTGTGTTTGTGTAGGATATGTTTATGTACTATTGACATATGTTATATATATTGAATGTATGTAGCATGCATCCTATTATTATTCTTTTGCTGTTTTTGTCCCTCTTGTTTTTGTTACCTTTTCTCTCACTTTTGGCCACCTTTTGAAAAATTTTGATCTTTTCCTGTTAGTTTGAAAGTAACATACTTTGTTCCTATTCCTACTAATTCAATATACATACTTAACCAAAGTCTAAAATTGATCAGTAAGTTTAACCACCTTCTGACGATTCAAGTGCTGTAGAACACTCTGAATTCCATTTACCTTGCTCCTGAGTTATGCTATGCCTATAGATTTTAAATATTTAATTTAAATCCATAAGACACCATCGTTGTTTCATACAGTCAATTTTGTTTAGTCGCCCCATATATATTTACTACTTCTATTGCTCTTCATCCATCTCTTAGAATTTTCTTTAGTGAAGGTATGCTAGGGACAACCTTTGAGTTTGGTGATCTGAAAATGTATCTTCATTCTTGAAAATTGTATTTCATGGGAGTAGGGTTCTACGTTGGTAATTATTTCCTCTTAGGCCATCGCATTGTCTCCTGGCTTCCACTGCAGCCTGTGGCATCTTAGCTCCCTGACCAGGGATCGAACCTGGGCCCTCAGCAACGAGAGCACAGAGTCCTGACCACTGGACTGCCAGGGAATTCCCACAATCTCTTTTTCTCTAGCTGCCCTTAAGACACTTTGTGTACTATTGTTGATTTGCACTTTCACTATAACATGTCTGGGTGTGGCTTTTTAAAATGTATCTCGCTTGGGATTCACTGAGCTTCTCTAATCTTTCACTTGTTGCTTTTCATCAGTTCAGGTAAATCCTGAACCCTCAGATCTCGAAATATAGCTTCTACCCCATTTTCTTTCTTCTTCTTCTGGAGCTCTGATTAGACATACGTTAAGCCCTTCCCCTCTCCCACGTTGCTCACCTTCTTCTTGATTTCGTCCATTTGTTTTGTGTTGCGTTCGGAATAATTCCTTCTGACCTGTCTTCCCTTTGGTTCCCTCTACGGCTATCTAATCTGATAATCTCAGTTTCTGTATTTTTATTTATACAAATTCCATTAATCCCTTTTTCAAATCTGTTACTAAAAAGATTTCCTATTCCGTGTAGCTTCAAGCTATTTCATTAACAAAAATATTATGCATATTTTATAATGTCTCATGATTTCCGTATCTGAAACTTTTGGATTTTTTTGGTCACTCTCATTCATGGTGTCCTGTTTCCTTGTGTGATTACTTTTTGAGTTGCTCATTTTCCTTAGAATATTATTTTGGGAGTCCTTTGAGGCTTAGGATGAAACAGTATCCTTTCAGAGGATCTGCATTCTGGCCAGCGTTTAGGGAATTCCCCCAGTCCAGTTTAATCTAAATTTACAGTTTGAGGCTTTTGTAACATGTACGGGGTGTGAATTTGGGTTGCAACTAGGTGCAAGGGCTAGCTTGCAGTGACAGTTTGTCAGAGGTTTTTCTTAACTCGGTCTGCCCAGAGCTAAAGCAACTTTTCTTGCAGTGCCCTAGTGGTGTTGGGGTAAAGGTTTACTCCTGGTTCACCGTCATCCGGAAGTAGCCCTTTGCAGGACCTGCTTTATAAAGGGTCTTTGATTTCTGTTCACATGTCCCGTCAGGCCCTGGAAACTGAAGCTCATACTCCTCAGGTTTGGTAGATGCCCCGGGACAAAAGTACCTTCCGTACTTGCTTCCCTATTCCACATCCCATTTTCACGTGGATTTTGACCTAGTCATTTCTTGCTGATGTTTGTTAGTTCAATACAAAAAATAAAAGTTACCCATTAGTTTTTGTTGGCTTTTAGTGGAAGGCAGTCAGAATTACCTAGTCTGTTTACATTTCTGGAAACAGAATCGTCTAGTTATAAAAATACAGAGAAAGCTTTTGTCAAAAGTTTGGTGTTGCTTGGTTTACAGAGAAGATTCTGTTTCTCCATCTGTAAAAGAGACATTTAAAATAGCCACCAATTTTGGAATCTGCATCAATGAAGTCTGCAGAACCCCTTGCGAGTTGAATTGAAATCACATTTACTTACTTTGCCTTGTTACAAAAACAATTTAAGGTGATTAAAACCTTAAAATTTCTAAGAGCACCAGTAGACGTTCAAATAAAGAGGGAAGGGCATTTGGTAGAGAGCACCCTTAATCTCTGCTCTGCAATTACAGGCATACATCATTATTTTACTGTGCTTGTTTTTTTTTACAAATTGAAGGTTTGTGGCAACCCTACATGGTCAGATGATGGTTAGAATTTGGCAATAAAATATTTTTTAATTAAGGTACGTACATTGTCTTTTTAGACAGGCTACTGCGCACTTATCTGACTGCAGTATAGTCTGAACATAACTTTTATAGGCACTGGGAAAGCCAAAAGCGAGCCAGACTCGCTTTATTGTGACGTTTGCTTTTTTTGAGGTGGTCTAGAAGTGAACCCGCAATATCTCCGACGTCTGCCCGTAACTAGGAGTTCTCATGGTGGAGTCTGTGTAGCAACCCCCTTAAGTTATATGCAAAATGTTTTATTTGCAAATAAGAGTTTTTCTCTGAAGAAGGCCCACAGCTGTAAGCACAGTCTCAGAGGTCTAAGGTCCAAGGAAAGTTATGAACTACTTAAGTACATACAAGGAAATCTTAGGCAAATAATTTATCCTCTTTGTATGTTAGTTTTCTAACCTATATTTTGATGAAACAAACGCTTCATGAATTTACTCTAAGGGTTTTCCAAAAAGACAGTAATATGTGAACATGCTTTGAAAAAGTTATCCGTGTTTAAAAAAACAACTTAGTAAAACGTTCTACTCGTTTTTTGTTTGTTTGTTTTTCAACACTTATTAAAGTGTTCAGGGTACTACAAAGGGTACTAAAACACTGTGGAAAAGTGTTCATCTTAATGACATTTATTCAACAAACATTTAAATGTACTGAATGCAGGAGATACAGATGAATAAAACACCATTCTATATTGCCTCATGCAGGACCCAGAACCATGGATTGTAAGAGCTGTTTTAGAAATACACTCAGTACCTATGGAGGCCAGAGGAAGGGCATGTGGGGTGGGGATGGCAGATGAGTGAGTTGTTGCATGATTCTTGGGGGTGTTACCACCTAACACCTAAAATGAGTTGGTCAAATGCGGCATAAGTAAGGAGAGGAGTGGGGAAATGGTGTGACGTGTGTGCACGTGCGGGAGTGTGTGTAGGCAGAACAAGTAGGTGATGCTGGCACAGAAAACAGAGGGCAAGACATGAGGCTGCGTGTGTGGCAGGGGCCAGATCAGGGAGGGTTTTGTGGGTTAGGTTGGATTCTGAGCATTATCGTGGGCTAAAGACAACACCAAATGCTTTAAGCAGGGGACTGAAATGATTCGATTTTGTTGGAACGCTTTTTTGGTAGTACACAGCAGCAGGGGGAGGCGGCTAAGGATGTAAAATCTGGTTAGATATGTTTTGTATTGTTTCAGGAAGAGATTTGTGCGCCTAAAGTGGGAGTGGGAGAGAAGATAGATTATAACGTTATTTAGTAGGTAAATCAATAGGAATGTGTAATTGAGGACATGTGTAGGGTAATGGAGAGGGAACTCTCGCTCGGGCGGTTGGCTGAACCCCCAAATGAGGTAGAGAATCAGGAGGAATATAAGTTTGGCCTTGTCGTATGTGAGTAGGTATCTGGGTGGAAATGCATCACAGGTAGAAAAGTCTGGGCTAGAGAGAGAAATGCGTGGAGGCTTGAATAAACAGGTGATTGCTGAGAGCATGAGTGGCTGAGATCAGCCGAGATAAATAAGGAGATAAGTAGGACTCGCCAAAATGGAAAAGGTGAGTGTGTGAAGAAGAGCCCCAGAGAGAGAAGGCACCCGAACTGTTCCAGCACAAGATGAAGCAGTTTCAAGGACTGAATTACTAACAGTGGCAAATGCAGGGGAGAGCCTCCGGTGAGATAAGAACTAAACATATTCGTTTGACAATCAAGAGGCGTCTGTTTTGTTTAATGAGGGATGAGAACCAGATGGGAGATGAACAGCAAGTGAGGCAGTGAATGGAGAGGAAGTGTACACAGAGTTTGGATATGAAAGGGAGAAGGGCGACTAAACTGGTGCTATCAAGGGAGTGACTTTTTCTTTTTAAGGACTGGAGAAACAGGAACATGTTTGTTGGCTGAGGAGGAAGGACTAGAAAGGGAGAGGATGAAGATTAAGAGTTGTTTTTTCCCAGGCTCAGAGTTCAGGCTACTTAGGAAGAGCTAAAAAGAACTAAATTCGTAGTCAATCCATCAGGAGGGCTCCTCAGCCCAACAGCTGATCCATCCATCTTAATAAAAACTGCAGAACGTCTTCCCTAGTTTACCTCAAAGAAGTAACAGCTCAGTAGGCAATTATAATAATTAGATAAGAAAATAAAGTAAGTCAGGATAACTATATTTTTAATAGTATTTTGCTGCCAACCAAAGAAAGATGCTTCTTTGGGATGAACGTAAATCAATGTAAACCAAAATTGTATTTTTCTGCAAAGATTATGCTATAAACTGGTAGAAAAGTCAATTGACAGCTTATTCTACTCGCCAAGAGAACAGTATGAGCCCTGAAAAGTGGTAAAAAGATCCCTTGTGAATATACCAACTAAGTCACCAAGAGTCCTGTATATACCAATAAGGCGAGGGGTCAGTCAGCCCACGTGAGAGCACGCAGGCAAAATTCTTGATTACCAAGGACCCATTTTCATGTTAGTTAAAAAAAATTTTGGTGAAGTTGGTAATTTGAGTGAGTCTAAAATTCCATTCAAGAATGTATTTCTCTTTGCTGGAATAACAAATAAATAAGTTTTAATGGAATGAAGAACTGTGAACCAATTAAGATAGAGTTGTCTCTGGGGGGAATAAATAATAATTAGAGAAACTTTTGAATAACCTGAATAAGAATAAGAGGTGACCGATTTTAACTGGTGCAGAATGCTTTGGCTGGTTTCTTTAAAAAAGAAAATGTAACTCTTAAAACATTAAAAACAAAAATTCAAAAATGTATTTAAAGGCTGGAACACTGGGGCCGATGTCAGTTGAAAGGGGGTGCTGCAGCAAGCTAGCAAAACCAAGAAATTTTAAACCGAGATCATTCCTTCCTTCCGTCTATTCATTAACTCAACAAATAGTGCTTAAGCATCTGGTAAAGGACATCAAGCCTTTGGCAATACACAAAGCACTTTTTAATCAGTTTGTTACTCGTCCACGCATGTTTGGACCCTTCCAGGAGGCAGAGCTCCTCCTCTTGCAGGCTTGCCTGCGTCAGCGGTCTCCACTGCCTGATCCCTTTGAGGCTCACACCCCTCCTTGTTGCTGCCCCCTGCTCCCTTCCCTTCATTCACTGAACACACTGCCACCTGACTTAGTTTTCCTCTCCACTACGACTCTGGATGATCTTAATGTCCACCCGTCCAACCCACTTGTCTTTTTAGGCTTTGTGATCTTGTTTTGTCTCCAGTGATCTTCCTTAACTTCATGTAGCCACTGCAAGGTCACGCCTTGGATCGTACTACACCACGAACTTGCTCTTCTCATATCACTAATCCAAGCATCCTGGTCTCAGGCTAGCATTTTCTGTCCTTCCCAAGCTGCTTGCTCAACAACTCCCAGTAGATCAGAGCTGTCGTCAGACTGTCCATTGGGCTGTCTACTGTCTTCCCAACACTGTGTGTTGCCTTCACGTCCTTACCTATTCAGTTTAAGTACCGTAGGACCCTTTTTCAACAACTCAATTTTAATAATTATTCAGTTATTGTCCTTTGTTCTAGTCAGACTTATCTGGCAAAACTCCAAGTTATCTCTATTTTCTGCACGTCTGTACCTAGGCATCAGGGTGTTACTAGGGAGGGCAACAAAAATAAAACCACAAGAGGCAAACTTTCAGTGTAGTTCTCGATCACCAACTAGTTGGGGAACTACAGAATGGTGTGGAGGACCCAACACCTCTGGGCACTTTACTCTCCACAATAACTGTTTTAAAACTTGCATTTTCAACCATCTGCCCTGGTCTCAAATTTCAGAGAAAACCAAAGCCTGCATACGCACTAGCCTCTCCTTTCTTCTAGATTAAAAGCACTCTGTCCATCGGAAGCCAATCCTTTGGACCCCATCCTCCTCCACCTTCTTTGGAACCCAGTACCATGCTGATTCCTTAGACTCTCTGGTCTTCCACTTCTCCCTTTTTCCTGGGTCCTTCTCAGAGATAAAGCAGTACCTAAAAAGGGAAAGGGAGACACACTGTTGCCTCATTCTCTCCTCCTTCACACTTCCAACATTTGGGAGCTGTGCAAGGGTAGCTTCTTTCTGACATCTACCTCCTCTACTACCTGGAAGGGCATGTCTCTAAGCTGCCAGTTATTTCCAGGAGGTCAAATCCAATAGATGCTTTCAAATCCTTCACTCTACTTGATTTCTCAGCAGTATTCAACACCTGTGCAAAAAAAAAAAAAAAAGCCCTTCCCTGGGCTTCCATGACTTTCCTCCTCCTGGTTTTCCTTTCATTTCTTTAGCTACTGCTTGTCAGTCTCCTTTGCCTGCTTATCTGCCACTTAAAACTTTTGAGAGGGCCTATGGTGTTGCCCTGGGCCCTCTCTTCTTTATAGCAGAGATCCGCACATTTTTTTTTTCTTTAAAGGGCCATATAATAAATTATTCTAGGCTTTGCAGGCCATAAGGTCTGTCACAACCACTCAACTCTGCCACTGTGACGTGAAAGCAGCCATGAACAATAGTTTAACTAATCGACATGGCTCTGTTCCAATAAAACTTTATTTACAAAAACAGATGGTGGGTTGGATTTGGCCTATAGCCTGTGGTTTGCCATGCCATACTCTATACTCTGCCTAGAGAAGCATCCTCTCTTGAGTCTCCAATGACCATCTATACATCACATTCATATCCAAATCAGTATCTCCAGCTACCTAAAATCCACATTTAAATGTCTCAAAGGCATCTCAAATCTTACCTGAGGAATTGTGCTCTTTGCCCCCAAATCTGATCTTCCTCCAGTGTCCTTAGTAAAAGGCACTGCCATAGAGTGCACAAGGCAGAAAGTAAGGCATCCTAGATGTTTCTCCCTCTTTCATTCTCTAATTCTTTGAACTGGAAGAATACCTAAAAAAGGTAACTCTGTAAATGCCATTATTTGAAGCACACAGTCAAATTTAACATTTCACTAATAGAGCTAAACTTTATTTCCATGTTTATTACATGTTTATCTTTGATGTTGAATACATATTAGATTGATTTAACATACAACTTGGGAGAAAAGCTGACATTCTCCATTAGATGGGTTAAAAAGGAATGTAAAACTACAAAATACTTGTTTAAGTTTGAATTCTAAATTATGGCAAACAGAACAATAATTACCTTGCCATTTTTCTCTTTCTAGTTTTCCAAGATGGATTTCATTATAAAATGTTTTTCATAACAATTTATTTCAAGAAAGGAAACAAGGGATAATCATTAAAACCATTTTACTTTAAGTATAGAGTACAAATAAAGAGTCTTAACGCAGAACTCCTATCTCCTATTTAAAATACAAATAATACTTCAGGATATTATGAACTGAGGGGGACTGACTATTGTAAACTGCAAATCTAATGACTTGAGCAAACCCACACATGCCATTTGCTTTTGTCTGCAAGAGTCAGGCTAATTTAAGGGTGACACAACAGAGTTCTATTTGATATCTATGTCACCCAGTTTCTACTCAGAATGGGGATGGCCAAATACTAAGTGCTTACGTGATGGAGATTCAGGATTAATCGATTCCAAGTGGCTAAGAGCTAAGAGAGTTAATCATTCCATCCCCCAATCTATGGCCATGTACAAATGTACAGATTTTAGCATTCACTGAAAGTTTTAAAATAAAACTCCTCTAGATACTCTGAAACGGCTGAAATTCACAGTGTATAAAGACTGTTATCTGCAGTATAATTGCAGTGTTTCAGCAAAATCAAAATTATGGGTGGTTATCAAAGTTGTTATTGGTAATAGTTTCTTTTTCTTCTCTATAAGCCCCTTAGCATATTTTGTGAAGAAAGGTGTGTCCTTAATACTCCTACTCTTTACTTAGATTTAAAAAATAATAAATCAGCTTAAAATTATTTTCTACCAGGGATTACAGGATGAAAACTCTTACTAGAAGTGTGAATGATGCCTACTGTTCTCATTAGACAGGCGTTTAGAATCATCGGCGAAATCCCATATTCTTCTTAATAATAATGCTTATAAAAGATGTTTAATAACGATAACTCGCTTCTAATTAGATTACTCTAGTGATAAAATATTTTCTCATGTAACTGTTTAGGCCAAATGATTTATGGCTTTTCCATTTTTAAAATTTCACTTTTAATGTCATGTTGTTAAAGCTTTTCTAAATACTCCTCTAATATCAGATTCTTAAATGAGAAAAGACAAAAGAGCGAAAAACTCCGTCTCAAGGCACACTCCTTTTCTTACAACAGGGTTGACACACTTTTCTGTAAAGGGCCAGATAATAAACATTTCAGGCTTTGTGGGTCACAGGGTCACTACTGCAATGACTCAAGTTCTGTTGTTCTTGTGAGAAAGCAGCCATAGACAATATGTATTTACAGAAAGAGTAGTCCGAATTTGGCCTGCAGGCCACAGCTGGCCAATCTCTGCCGTAGAACAGAAAGGACATCTAAAAAATCCTGGTCTCTAGTCCAATGTGATGACTGACTCAGAATCTAGCAGTTTAATCACTCTAGAACACGTTGATGTTGAACACCGAATTTAGCCAACTTTCCGCTTCTGGTTCAGATTATTCAAACTCATGTCATCATGCTTTTCATTTGGGATAATTTATCTTCATTTAAGAACTTGCCTGAGCATTATTTATTGAGGGATTCAGTTTAAAATTAATAAATGATGTCCATAAAATTGAATATCCAATTTAATTTTTGAAAAAAATGAAAAATATAACAGAATCAAAACATTAAAAGTAAGTACACTCACTACCCATTCCAGTAATTCATTTAAGTCATATCAACTATAGAATAGGAAAAATAAATTCAGAAGTGTAATTACTTTAAAATACACTGCTTCCATTTCTGTCAATATTTTACATTTATGTATATATTCTAGAGTGTAAGCAGAAATTCTCTCTAAAAATCTCCTTAAAATCTTGAGGTGCATATTAGAGCCACAGGCAATATCTGACATATAAAATTGCAGTACAGGCCTTTCAAATTTGGCATTTCACTGTACAATACAATGACCAACGTGTATAATCACTGTACAGTGCCTAGACATTCCAGTAAGAACCATTATTTTCTTTACTGTAGAATGATTAATACATATTCTACACGGGGCAGTGAGGTTTAGTAATTCTATTGGGTATGTCCTGACATAATTTTCAAATTGTACAATAAAACAAACAGCTTTGTTAAGGCCATGTTTTATTTGCTGATTAATGGACAAAAGGCAATGTAATTTATTTTCAAGTATTTTCTTGAAAGTCTGTGCTCATAAAAATCATGAAAAGTTGGAAAGACTGTTAAATCACTGAAACTTTAAATATATCTTACACAATCTTGTTTGTACAAAAATACAAGTTAAATATAAACATAAAGCAATCATGATAATTTTATGCAAATCTGTTTTATGTGATCTTCAGTTATATATAAAAGTTTCTTGGTTCTGTTTGTGAAAAGATCAATACCAGATTGAATTACTATCTATTGGCAAAGGGCCCTAAAAAGCTTACTTTAGCAATTATCTTTTACATGGTTAAGAGCATTTCCTAATTTGAGATCACCTAAACACTGGAAAAAAGAAAAAATGAAAAGGGCAGTATGTCCATAAACCAACAAATAATGTGGCTGTAATGTATCATAAAACACAAAGAAACCCCACACATCTGTACAATAAACATTATGTATTACATACTCACACACACAGGTGTATACGTGTGTGCATGCACGTAAACACACACACACGCACACGCAGGCACGCACACACATACCCAGTCATAAAACAAAGCTTAATGAGGTGTTGCTTCCAGTTCGATATTCAGCTGTGCATTTTTTCTTACTTCATCAAATGAATAGCTTTTTGTCACCTTCCCATTCTTGAAGACAGTATGGAGAAGATCCTGCACAAATATAATAATATTAAAGTTTAATGATATTAGACTATCAAACAAAATTCTTAAGTAATGCTTTGATGAATGAGGTTAGTCAAATACACAGAGATGTTGATATTGTTCAAATTATGAAATGATTTTATTCACAAAGAATGCTGGTAGAGCAGGCATGATCTAAAATGGGATGTAGAGATATTTAACTTTTATGGAAAGGAATGATCTGAGTAGTACATTCTTAAAACAGTTTTCCTTAAAGGAAAAATGAAAAAACCTAGTTGACCCATCTCCTTTTTTTCAGGTGGAAGATGCTTACTGCTTTGGTTGCCCAGAAGAACTATGGCTGTCACTGATAAGCATGACTGACAGATCAGCAAGGAAAGCCTGCCAGACCTTCCCTCGTTCCTAGCCAAGACTCAACACCGATTAAACTTCTCAATTTGGAATTTACTAAACTTTCTAATCACGAGTTTTGGCCTTAAAGAAGCAAGCAAGCAAACAAAGCCAACACTGAAAACAAGCAACCAAACCCAGAAGAGAAACATAAATTGATTTCTTGACTAATGCACAGCCACTGATTTTAAAAACTCTGTGTATATTCCGGAAGTCACTGATACGTGTAATCCATTTGATCCACACAAGGATAAAACAAAGACAAATTAAGAGAATTAGGACTGAATTCCCTTTCGAGTCTGGTAAAGCCATCCCTGTCTCACTAAGGAATTATCTGCCTCTAGTTTCTCCTGAAAAATCCACAGAAGTAATCTACTATGCCGAAGTTTTCCATCTCATCGGAAGGTGAGGAGCATACAATGTTATCTAACATTTTTGTCATTATGTTGTTTCCTTTTTATCCTAAGTTTTATTTTTTATTTAAAATTTTTTTTATTGAGGTATAGTTGATTTACAATATTAGTTTCAGGTGTACAACATAATGATTTATTATTTTTAGATTATAATCCACTTAAAATTATTATAAAATATTGGCTATATTCCCTGTGATGTACAGTATGTGTAGTTTTTTTTTTTCTTTTTTTTTTTGCAGTACGTGGGCCTCTCACTGTTGTGGCCTCTCCCGTCGCGGAACGCGTAGGCTCAGCAGCCATGGCTCATGGGCCCAGCCGCTCCGCGGCATGTGGGATCCTCCCGGACCACGGCACGAACCCATGTCCCCTGCCTCCGCAGGCGGACTCTCAACCACTGCGCCACCAGGGAAGCCCATGTAGCTTATTTATTTTATACACAGTAGTTTGTACCTCTTACTCCCCTACCCTGCCCCTCCTCGCTTCCCTCTCCCCACTGGTAAACACTAATTTGTTGTCTGTATCTGTAAGACTGTTTCTGTTTTGTTATATTCATTTGTTTTATTTTTTAGATTCCACATACAAGTAATAACATATGGTATTTGTCTTTCTCTGTCTGACTTATTTCACATAGCATAATACCCTCCAGGTCCATCCATGTTGTTGCAAATGGCAAAATTTCCTTTTTTTTTTAATGGCTGAGTAATATTCCATTGTATATATGTGCCACATTTTCTTTATCCATTCATCTGTTGATGGACACTTAGGTTGCTTCTGTATCTTGGCTATTGTAAAGAATGCTGCTGTGAACATTGGGGTGTATATAGGTTTCAAATGAATGTTTTCATTTTCTTTGAATATATACCCATGAGTGGCATTGCTGGGTCGTATGGCAACTCTATTTTTAGTTTTTTGAGGAATCTCCATACTGTCCTCCCTAGTGGCTGTATCAATTTACACTCCCACCAACAAGGTAAGAGGGTTCTCTTTTCTCCACACCCTCTCCAGCATTTGTTATTTGTAGACTTTTTGATGATGACCATTTATTCTGACAGGTGTGAGGTGAAACCTCATTGTGGTTTCGATGTGCATTTCTCTAATAATTAGCAATGCTGAGCATCTTTTCATGTGCCTGTTAGCCATCTGGATGTCTTCTGTGGAAAGATGTCTGTTCAGTCCTTCTGCCCATTTTTAGATTGGATTGGCTTTTTTGATATTATGTTACATTAGCTTTTTGGATATTTTGGATATTAACCCCTTGCTGGTCATATCATTTGTAAATATTTTTCCCATCAATGTAGGCTGTCTTTTTGTTTCATTGACGGTTTCCTTTGCTGTGCCAAAACTTTTAATTAGGCCCCATTTGTTTATTTTTGCTTTTATTTCTTTTGCCTTGGGAGACTAAGAAAATACTACTATGATTTATGTCAGAGTGCTTCGCCTATGTTCTTTTCTAGGAGTTTCACGGTATCATGTCTTACATTTAGGCTCATTACTGCTTTTGACACATTTTATATCTTTTTTGTTTTGTGTATCCCTGAACTACTTATAGGTGATTTTACTGTTTGTCTTTTAAACTTCCTTAGTATATGCTTGATTTGCTACCTTTACTATATAACTGCCTTTACTGATGAGGTACTTCCTTTTGTAATTATCATGTTTACTCCTATTAACATTTCTTATAAAGCTGGCTTGGCGTTTAGCTTTTGGTTGTCTGTAAAACTTTTGATATCTTCAAATCTGAATGAAAACCTTGCCAGGTAGAGAGTATTCTGGGTTGTAGGTTTCACCCTGTCATCACTTTAAATATATTGTACCATCCCTCTGGCCAGCAGACTTTCTGCTGAAAAGTCAGATTATACAGCCTTATTAGAGTTCCCTTGTAAGTTGTTGCTTTTCCCTTGCTGCTTTTAACAATCTAATTACAGTGTTTCTTGGTGTGGTCCTCTTTGGATTTGATCCTTTTGGGGCTCTCTGTGCTTCCCCTTCCCAGGTTAGGGAAGTTTTCAGCTACTGTGTCTTCAAATATGTTCTCTGCCCCTTTCTCTCTTCCTTCTGAGACTACTACAATGCAAATGTTAGTTGCTTGATGTTGTACTAGAGGTGTCTTTTCTGAGACTACTACAATGCAAATGTTAGTTGCTTGATGTTGTACTAGAGGTGTCTT